TTGCTATGTATCTACACATATTAATGTCTAGATACATAGCAAAATGGATGAATAAAAAAAGTCAAAACAACATTTATTTAAAAAAGGAGGGAGTAGAAAATTTTAAGTTACAATTAGACCGGGCTATTTTCCGGTTCTAGGCCCGCTACCCCTCAACATATGCACATGTTAGGTTCAATGAATTACTAGTTTTGAGTTGACCCGATTCAATTAAAAAAAAATTATTAATAAATCACAAAAAAGTTGTTTCGGTTCGAAACTAGCTCGACGGTTAAAACATTACAAACGGCCCGGTCAAACTAGGAGCTCAGTTCAAAGCCCGTTGACCATGGGCCGAACTGACGGGCTGGGCCAGGGTGTGGTCATGTTTAGTTACAAATTATTTTGAGCATGCTTCATATAAGTTTTTTTTTTAAAGTAAAATAAAATAAAATAATATCACTCATAACTCAAATCTAAGTCAGTATTAACTTAATCTCATTATCCTCAATATAATTAAATAATATCAATTATTCATCTTTACTCATCACATCAACTTTAATTGACTATTCATCTGTGAACATAATTTTAACTCATCACTTCCAATCACAATTTTAGCTCGTCACTTCCAATCTACATTTCTCCTACTTTTACATAAAATTAATTTTAATTATTATATTTTAAATGTTATTCTAATACAAACTCAAAATCCTGCTCAAACATAATTCAACCTACTTTTTCAATAATTACCTTTGTTTTCAACGACAAAATTAGAAATAATATTAACTCAAACAAAAAATACGGATGAGCAACCAAATGGCTAAACCATTCTCACATTTTCTAGACATGCAAATGTGGTAACCAACAGAGACATGAAGATCAAACCCCCTGCAGCCCTATCGACTAATAAAGCAGAAATTCTATAAGCATTACAATCCCAAACAAAAATACAACTAACACCAGAAGTAGTAGCATCCCTACGTCTTCTAAAAGAACAAAACAGGCGACAAGATTTGTCTGATGAACATGCATACCAAATATAGTTGTATATATATTAGTTTCACGAGTTCTGGTAGAGAACGAGCTATTCCATTATTCTTTCAGAGAGTTTAGAGTTTTATTCATTGAGAGCTCGTGAGTTTTTTATTATATTTTATAGAATGATCGAATTCCAGCATGAAGGTTCATCGCTGATATTTCGAACTGTCAGTTTAGCTTTCGTTTCTACTTGGTGCTTGCGACGAACATCTTCATACTGCTTGGAGGGATCTATACGTGCAGCGTAGTCCACGTCGTGGCAAGAAAAGTAGTTAGGTAGGTGGAGTACAAAGTAGGTTAGCTTAGAGGGAGTCTATGAGTGTAAATCATATTTGTACTTGTTGGCCAAACACTTGCTTAATGAAAGAGTTCTGAGGAAGAGTGAGGCGCTTTCCTGAAAGTTCATTTTTATTTAATCGTTTCCACAATTTCACATGAATGTTCATTGTTTTTAGTTTAACCTAGAATTTGTGTACTCCCCCGAAATTTCAATCGGCGCCAACGTTTCAATTACAAAGATCTTGTGGCCTGTGACTTGCTACCCTGAATTACAACTGTGGATCTATGTCCCAACCCCCGCAGCTTGACCGGTCGAACTATCCCTATTGGAAATCGATGATGACCATGTTTTTGCGTTCAATGGGAAAAGGCGCGTGGAAAGTATTGAGAACAAGTGGAAACATCCGATGATGAAGAGATCCCCGGAGAAAGGCGATGCCGATGGATCATCCGATGAAGTTCTCAAACTACGCGACATATGGACGG